GACCACTTGATTAACATGCAGTCTGCTTTAATTATCTCACAAGTGAAAACTGAAAACTGTTTCAACTCCTATTATAAAAGTGGATGCTGCTGGAGGTGTTTCCCAAAATACAAAACAATCACCAATTACAGATCCTAAGATTTTTTTTCCCTTGAATAAGTTAACGATAGATTTCCATGAGTGCAACAACCTAGACATTTTGGGACTGGTTGCTCATGTGAGGTTCAACTGTAGTGATATGAATGCACAAAGAGGGTTACAAAGTGACTGCTGTCACTGGAGATGCCCAAAGTTCTCACCTTTGACTCCGATGTCAGCTTTCTATCAATTTCCAATGCCAACTGATTTTTATTTGTCTCTTTCTTTAAATCAGATCTTTTCAACAGGTGATAGTTGTCAAAGAGCTGGAGAAAATAGATTTACAAAATTTCATTCATACTGTAAATATTTATTCATCTGTATGCTATATAATTATTCACATTCAGTTACTCATTGATTTGAAGATGGCATAAGCATGCCGAAACATGTCTCTCAAAGAAGTTGTATATTTCTTACAATATTTATCATACTTGCGATTACTGCGACCTTAATAATAATAATGATAATTGTTAAATATTTCATCAAAATTGATTTAAATTGGACATATTCTCAAGTCATACATATAAATATCACTAATTATTAAACCTTTAATAAGTTGTATTCAAAATCAAAAATGTCCAATAAAAAATAAAACAACAATACATACAAACTAAACCACATGAAATATCTCTAAATCAATAATCTATAGCAAGTTTATGCATTCCCTAGGAGACAGAAACAATGACTAAACCACAAAAACAAAAGATCAAAAAGAGACAACAAATGAAATATAATTACAAAGTTCTTCCTTAGCTCAGGATGACTACCATCCACTCCATCATCTACTACTGCCACCAGAATTCCTTTTCCAGTGTAGCCTTCTTTCCAAACAGAGGGAATATTGTATGTTGGTACTTCTGCTACCTCATGA